CTTAGGTTTCTTCTCCGCAAAGCCAATTTAATAGTTGTATCTCAGACTCAGATACAACACCCCCTGCCTCCCTCATCTCTCGGTTCATCTATTTGCTTTAACATAACCCCTCAATTGAAAATTGAAAACAATTCAGGAAGGAAGACTTGCAACATAAAAGGCACTTGTGAATGCTCTGGGAATTAATCCGTTATATACATCATTCTTTTTTGAGGTTGTTTTATCTTCCTTCTAAAGAACTCAGAAACTCAATGGCAACTTCAAACAGAACCCAATTTAGTCCTGTCATTAGACCAAGAGGGTTTTATTCTCCCTGGTCCTCTGTCAGATTTTAAAAGGATGTGGTTTTATTCCCCTTCTCATCTAATACTGGAACATATCCATCTACACAAAGATCTCACTTTTAAATGATGTTCTTGTATTTCAAGAGATCTTTTACAGGAGAAAAATAATAGCTCCCCTCTAGACAAAGCACATGGCTGGAAAGTGAGTCTATTTATCTCCGAAGATTCAACAAATTTCTACAAAGTGTTGGGCCCAAATTCTTGGTGGCTAGAGGAGGAGGTGAGGTTCTGAAGGGGGACATGACTTGCTCAGAGTCACATAGCTAAGTTAGTGTGTCACCTGTGTACTTTCTTTCTTCTCATAGCTATTGGGTACTTTCCCTAGAAGGGAGACCCACTAGCCACCCTACCAGCCACTGTTCACCCGCCCAATCCTCTCTCATTCTTTAGGTCTTATTTTAAATGTCCCTAAGGCAACCACCACCCACCACTGACTTCTCAGACTATCAGAAATATAGCTACCTGTACCATTTATTCATCACACTGATCACATTTGTGATTATTTAATTGAGAGTCCTACTTCTCCATAAACGTCATGAAAATGGGAACAGAGCTAGTCATTGTCTTTATCCCCATAGAAGTAGTTATGTGTTGACGAACTAGCCAATGTGGCCTTCAGGCTCTGGGGTGGAGGAGAAAAAGCAGGTGCTTTCATTATAAAGGACAGTGGGACTGGCAGGAATTTGCTTGTCCCCTCTCCATTATGATGAGCCTTTCAAAAGGCTTGTTTAATCCCACAAGGTCACCACCCCCCCAAAAAAGTACTCTCTCCATAAATGATCTCATGTATTCCCATGGCTTAAAATAACATCCATATCTTGATGATCCCAAATTTGTATTTCCAATCTAGGCCTCTCCTTGGAGGTTGAGTTCAGTATACAGTATTAAGTATCCTTCCAGTTTTTGAAAGATTGTTCACTTTTGGGGTAGACTAAATGTAAAAATGTAAATGGATCTTACGTGTTTAGCTGGAACTTGAGTGTCATCATAGGCTTATCCTATTCTAACTCAAAGTTGTGTTCTACCACTGATTTTGCCAATTTTTCATGTAGCATTCTAACATTTAAAAAAGACTTAAGAGCAAACAAAAAATGTCAACCAATATTTGCATACACTGATATCATTTTCCATCATCTACTATTTAAGTATAAGTCAAAGGACAACAAATTTCTAAAACAAAACCAAAAACCTCACAAGTCCTTCAGACTGTGTAAGAAAATTAAGAAGAATTAAAATCAATCATAAACTGAAATTGTTCATTACATTAGTAGTTTTCTGCATAGAAGCAGAAGTTCTTTAAGTGACTTAACAAGGAAAGATAAACCTATCTTTAGTTTTGCAGAGCAGATGCAATTGAACATGTGTGAAGTGCATTATCACAGATCTGGCAGGCTAAAAGATGAATCTAACTGGATGTGAACAGCAAGATCAAGACTGTAATTAATTTTTCATTGTTTCCTTTTTGAACTTTTCGGATCAGTTCTGTTTCTGGCATCTCGTCTGCTGACTACTGGCGACATCTTATGTTTCATTTAGGCCTGTTTTTCTTACTCCTTTGCAATACCAAGTTGCAATCTCTGGCTGAGTCTTAACTCCTTACTTCTTTTACTGCAGATACTGGGATAATGTTGCTCCATCTTTTCCCTATTGCCTTTCCTAATCATTTTTTAGTGGAGTAAATTTTCATATCTGGTGGTCTTTGGATGCAGGACAACAGGACTTGAAGTACTGACTTAGCATATATGTTATTGCCTATCCTTTCTATGACCACTGTTAAACAACAGTGAAATCTCCTATTGTCCTTTTCCATAGTTCTTTACCCAAATTGGTCCCTTTGTTTACATTGTAGTCTTAACTATATACAGTCTTTTAAAAAATTTAAAAATGACAATTCCTTGCAAAACTCCATTAATTTCTTATTTCCATATGTCTGACCCTTCCCAAGCCTAACCCACTTTTTCTCTTTCTGCATTCAATTTGTCAGAATGTAGCCGTTTCCCAAAGGAGAGATGGAGGACAGACAAAAACAATACTTGTCTACTACATTATTCCCAGACTGTTTCTAAGAGAAATTTGGTCATACATACCTAGTAGTACCTGGTTTGAAGTCTGATGGGAGAAAAAATGTTGCAATTGTCTTTAGGAAAAAGAGGAATGTTACCTTTGACAGGAGACATCCTAATCAAAGGGCTTTATCCTAAGAATCCAACAAGATGCCTTCACCAGTTTTTCTTTCTTCTTGCCTTACGTAGGTAAGCAACAGCAGGCTGGGTCAGCTCAGTGATTTAAAAAACAAACTGAAAAAAATTTTCATGATTAACAAAAAGCATTACAGAAATAATATTCTAGTTTCTGGAGAAAGCAAAGCCAAAGAGAGGCCCCTAAAAGAGCTGGTATATAAGTCAGGGGAAATTATGGCAATGTCTAGCTGATAACTGAAGAAAGTTTAATGAAAGGGCTACTTATGAAGGTTTGGGCAGGGTTAAGGGACACTAGGAGAAACTACAGATCATGTTCACTGAATGCATGACAAATGTATGCCATCCAACTGGTCTTCAGTGACATCACAGTCATTAAGAGCATGCATCAACTTTGGAGTCAGATTGATAAAGGATCCAATACTAGCTTTACTTCTTTTTATTGATTTTATTTTTATTTCTTTTTTTTACAGAGAGGAAGGGAGAGGGATAGAGAGTTAGAAACATTGATGAGAGAGAAACATCGATCAGCTGCCTCCTGCACACCTCCCACTGGGAATGTGCCTGCAACCAAGGTACATGCCCTTGACCAGAATCAAATTTAATCTGAATTTCAGTTTCCTCACCTGTAAAATGAAGATGATAATATTTCAAAGGGTTGTTGAGACAGATAGATGGAAAAATATAACTTAAATAGTAGCACCTGACAGTGCTCAAACACTTGAATGTTAAATTTAATTATTATTCCTGAATTTATTTTTAGTAGAGGTAATGTTGATCAAAAAGGTATTATATTAATAACCAGGTTTTGCTGTAATAAAAAAATTTAAAAAGCTTAAGTAGAAGTTTTTCTTTCATACAAAATCCAGATCTAGAGAGGTCAGGTTTGGTATGGTAGTTCTGCTCTAAAAGCCCACACACCTCCTATGTCTATGTCTTTATTTTATTTTTGTTTCCTATGTCTATGTTTTATCATTCTTAGTAATTGATCCTTGTCCTCATGGGCCAAGGTAGTGGTCATTGCATCCTTGTTACATGTGGCAGAATTAACTAAATGGAGAAGAATTGGCAAAATGAGAGCAGCAGCAGTCTTTAAGGAAGGTTCTTGAAAGCTTATATTCTATTGGCCAAAACATTAGTCATATGGCCATACAAGGGAAGCTAGGAAATGTAGTCTTTATTTCTAGGGGAGAAAGAGACAATAGATACCTAAGGATAATCCATATTGTAATCCTTGTCACAGTCAGGAACTATTTCAAGTTATCTTTATTATCCTCAAGTCCTCCAAAGTCACCTTTTATCTTCCCATTTTTTTTTCTGTATTTCTTCTTCTCCACTGAGTTTTCTCCCTGCCTTAGCCTACATATTTTTTGTCCCACTTCTCTTTTTGGCTTTATTTCCAGTTGTTTCTTTCTTGTATGTAATAAACATTCATATTATTTTCTTTCACTTTTCTATTATTTTGCAATTACTAAAGTTTACCTTCTGTCTAAAATGTCATTTTCTACAAGTGTGTAAGTCCAAGACTCTTATTCAAAGCCCAGATGTAAATTATTCAAAAAGGGCCCTCAGAAGCTGCTCTCTCTAGAACTTCTCTTTTAGACGTGTGTCTCAGGATGACTTACATTAGACTTCCTTATGTATATTCCTATTCTCACCGGGATGTGAGTTCAAGGAGATAAAATCTGTATCTTATACAGCTTCGTATCTTCTTCTAGAAAATGGTACTTTGCACATTTGAAGTACCTGTTTAACTGAAAAATATTCTTTAAGTCCAGGATTGTTATTATAAATGTTTGAAAGTTTTATAATATCTAGATAGAAAGCTATATGCCAAAGATTTGTTTCTGAAAATCTGTGAGTAGAATTTTATAATTGAATTATTATAAAATATATTTGGGGGCACAAAACATAATTATATTATAAATTTTTCTATAAAGCTGACCACACTCTTCTTCCTATTTAAATATTTTCCAGATTGGATTTTTCAAATGCTTACTTTCCTTACAGTGGATACCATTATACTTGTCTCAACAAAAAATAATTATTCAAATGTAGATATATAACTTTTACTGTATATAGATTATATCTCAATAAATTTGACTTTTATAAAGTTATATATCAATGTTCACACTTTTTTAGGCATTCTGGTCTATACAAGATAAATTTACTAGTTAATTTTCTAAGATTACTATAAATATGAAGCTATCATCTACTTTCTATATTTCTCTGAAGGCTTATAATAATTTTAATAATCTCTGAATATATTCTAGGGACAAACTTCTTAACTGAAATGAAACTATTTGAAAATCTTTGTACCAAAGGAACTGTGAAGATTATCCTTATATAATGAAGGAAATAAAATCTTCAATTATGCTTTTTAAAACTTAGTTTCCTAATAATTTCAAACATGCTTTTCTGGAAAACTATGCCAGGAAAAAAAATCCACAACAGGAGCAATTTTTCATAAGAACTTTATAGGATGATTCACACATGGTGTATTTTCAAAGACTGAAAAACTGAAATAAAATAACATTAATTATAATTGCCATAAAATCATACATGCATAGCAAAATATATGATTATTGCTCACATATTATAAGGCACTCACAATACACTTTATACTACACACACAGGCAAACTTCAAAAAGGTTGGATCTTAATAACAAAATACTTTTTGATGCAAAATGTAAAGAAATCCAAAAATTGTGAATTTTTGCCTAATTTCTAGACCTAATTTCTTTTAAAAATGTATTTTTATTGTTTAAAAATATATTCTTATTGATTTCAGAAAGGAAGGGAGAGGAAGAGAGACAGAAACATCATTGATGAGAGAGAACCATTGATCGGCTGCCTTCTGCAAGGCCCACAATGGGGATCGGTTGGCGACCTCTCCGGATGCATGTTCTCCACGGACAACCCCGGCATATGCCCAGACCAGGAATCGAAGTGTGACCTCCTGGTTCATAGATCCACGTTCAACCACTGAGCTGCGCCAGCTGGGCAAGACCTAATTTCTTTTAAACTCAAATAGACATATTCCAATCAGTGTAGGGCCAGTACGTCTAAAAATTAGTTATAATAAAAATTGACTAATGAGACGACTATCTACAGTGTTCTCCCTCTATTGGGGACTGAGATATAAGCAGCTAGAAGCATTCAAGTTCACATGAAAACATGATGGTGGTCATAGTTGTATTCGAATTATAATATGGTACTATTTTCTTGTTTTCTCTATACAGCACTTTTGAAAAACTAAAAAATGATATAACCTTTCATTGGTGGGGCTCTGTAATTCTTCCTTTAGTAATATATCTTTAAAAATGTCTTTATTGATTTTAGAGAGAGAAGATGGGAGAGAAACATTGATCTGCTACTAGAGATGCAACAGGTGACCTCTCCTCTCCGTGCATGGGAGGACGCTCAATCAACTGAGCCACACAGGCCAGGGCTAGTTACATTTATTTTGATCCCGGAAAAGAGTACATTCAACACATTTCAGTTTTCTTGCCTGGCTGCCCTGAAGTCCGCATGAAGCCTGGCTTTTCCAGATCTGTTCTCACTGAGCTCCAGATACTTGCTTCCTCTAAATTAAAATCTTAATCAGCAGGTTGGAAAGTAACTAGATAAATTAAACCCCCAATGTGTCATTGACTTATAATAGCTCAATAGGTGATCTCTCTTAGTGTGCTTTTTTTTTTTTTTTTAAAGAAATCTTCAGGCACAAAGCCTTCATACATGGTATGAAGTTCTAGACCCTCAAACACAAGCACAAGGCCAGGAATGACTGACTTTCTGGTGAATGTAGAACTCTTTCAATCAAACCTATTCAGTCCATTACCTTTCTCTCTCTGGGCTGGTAAAATGAAGATTTCCACAGGAAAAGTACATATACTAGCTTTTAAGATGTTTTAAAAACTCTTCGCCACAATTTCCTTTTCATAGAGTGTTTTGATCAATGCAATGATAGCTTATTTACTCTCAGAATGTCTTTTATTGAAGGTGGAAAAACATTTTGTCACGCACTTAAAAGCCATGAAAATAATAGAAAAGGTTGGCACATCGAAGGAAATGAACGCCCCAAACATCAACGCTTGAATCTTCTTGGCTGGAATTCTTAACTCCAGTCCATTTACCCAAATCCACGGTTTGTTTAAACCCCTTTGGAAGCCCGTCTGATCCATCTGAGCAGAGGGAATAGCCTGTGGAGCGTGTGTGGCTGGGAAGAAACGGGGGAAAGAACCGGGAGACGAAAAAGTAGTAGAATGTTTCCAAGAAGGGGTGGGGTTTAGGGTGGAGGCCAGAAAAGGGGTAAAAGAAGGGGGGAGGGGGGAAGCGCTCCTCCGTTCATTGAGTATTTATCTTTGCCTCCCGCACGCCTGGGCCTCGGGTGGCGACCTCTCCGGACGCGCGCTCCCCGCGGACAAACGCCGGGCTCGGGTTATCTCGGGAACGGGAGCCGCCCGGCTTCCGACCAAGGGGTGGGGTTTAGGGTGGAGGCCAGAAAAGGGGTAAAAGAAGGGGGGAGGGGGGAAGCGCTCCTCCGTTCATTGAGTATTTATCTTTGCCTCCCGCACGCCTGGGCCTCGGGTGGCGACCTCTCCGGACGCGCGCTCCCCGCGGACAAACGCCGGGCTCGGGTTATCTCGGGAACGGGAGCCGCCCGGCTTCCGACCCC